AACCAGTTAGCCCGGACGGGTCGTTGTACCTAGGCTTTAAGTGCCTTCCGGTTTTACTTCTCTTGGTTCCTAATTCTATAGCATAGGATCTTTTTCTCCGGTGTGACTCCGGCGGCCAGGTTGGTGGACCCTTCTTGCCTCAGGGTTTTCGTCCGGTTCTTTGGTCTCCGGTTTCCAACTTTTTCGCAGTATCGTCAAAGATCTTCACTACTTCCTTACTCGGGTCTTGCCAAACGGGTTTCAATTATTCCAGTTTCTTGGATTTGGATCGCCCAAGAGCTTCTATTTCAAGATGGTAGTACCAAGATTACAGGTAATATACCCGACCGATCGTCGAATAATTGTTACCGGAACAAAGGCCTATTTTTCTAAAAACGTCTTCGGTGGGATTCGAACTCTAGATCTGCGGCTTGGGGGGTGACAACTTAACCACTACTTTAAGTCGCCACACCCTTCAAGATTTTTACAATTGTAAAAATAGTTTTGTTCATTAATATTTCACAAACAATTTATGAAACTGTTAGAAGATTATCCAAGAAGAAAACACTATTTGGAGGTTCTTTATAGATCTAAAGAATATTGAGCACATTTGTATACTGCTTTTAAATTTACTGGGAGAATGATTTCTACGTCTCATGTTGAAGCTATAAACATGTACTTTAAAAGACTGCTATACAACTCTAATGTTTCTCTCTGTGAGCTTATGTCAGAAATATATAGGTTGCTTAATCAACAGAACAAACAGAATCAGTATCAATACTAGAAACTTGCTATACCGTTATTTAGGAACCTTGAACGTACGAATTTCTTGTTCTCAGAAGTTGATAAATGTTGTTAAAGCTTTTTGTCACCAGAAATTTTAAGTATACAATATGATGAAATTAACCAATCACTTTATTATGTTGCATATTTGGTTAGTAAAAAAGATGTACTGTTTTCTGATGATCTTGACGCAATACTCTCTAATAATGAAAATAAAAGTGTCGATGATCCACAAGCTACTATACGTCAGTTATTAGGCATTGTTGATTTTGATGATGTTGATGAAATATAGGGTATTAGGGTTAGAAACTCTTTAAGTCTTAAGCATTATATTATTCTTTTGAAAAATAATATATATTTGTACTCATGTTTACGATAATCTGACAAAGAATTACCTGTCAGCATTATTTTCAGGTAATGTTGAACACAAGTAAAGCCAGATTCCATATACGGCTTATTCCATCTCGCTGGTATCAAAAAAACAAAGATGCATCTAATGAACCTTTTATTGTTGCTGAAAAGTTCTGTGGTGATTCAAGTAACTTATCACAAAAAAATTGACCTTTCAACTATTTATGTGCTATCAATAACACAAGCAATAACATTAAACAGCGAATGAATAAGTTAGAGCAAAGATTTATATATGGGCATCTTCATGGTGCATATAAAGTAGCTTTACAAAAAGCATTGCCATCTAAGTTGAAATCACAACATCTTATTAAAATTTTGCAAGAATTTGCTGATGAAAATGATGAATATAATGAAGAACCTTCTGATGAAGAATGTGATCAATATGACTCTTTAAGTGATAAGAAAAATGCTGAAATTATTTTACAGAATCCAAAAAAATGACGTAATAAAAGAAAACTACTAGGCACAAAATGTTTTAAGGCATCTTATGAAAATCAAGATAATGAAAGGCCAAAAAGGAGATGCAAAAAATGTGGAAATCTAGGGCATTATCAAAAGAATTGTAATGCTTAAGACTTACATTTGTGTAGCTATTTGACACAATTTATATGCTTGTTTTACGCTCTTGATTTTTTTTATTTATACATGTCTTAATTGCTTGTTTTACATCTTTGATCTTATTTAGCATATCTTAATTGATTGTTTTATGTCTTTGATCTTTTTTATTTTAGCATGTCTTAATACTAACTTAGTTGTAGTATTATAAAAATTAAGATAATAATGTGATAATTATGTAGATTATTACTAAAGAAGTTGTATACTTAAGCTTTATGTACTAGCACTTGATTTAATTAATTATACCAGTTTTCACACTTTGATCTTTTATTTGACTTCTTATTTTTTGTATATCTTAATACTAACTTAGAATATTTTAAAGAGGATTAGGAGTTTTTAATTTTAGAACCATGGTTCAAATATTTTTTGATTAGCTTATAATACAATAGGATTCAGTGAGATAATACTGTATGGCAGTATAAATTTAGATAGATGTACGTACATATGTATATACATATGTACAAAAATTAAATTTTGGTATATATGGTCAGTATAATTCAATTTTTGTATTGTTACAGGGCTGTAGCCTTCTTAGTAAAATATAACCAAGTAACAAGATCACCTGGTACAGTGATTGACTATTGCAAATATATATGAGGTGGAGGTGTAGTTGTTCACTTAACTACACAGCAGCAGGCAAACGGTTCGAGATAGTAACAGTATATAAGATAGCT